GGCACTGAGATCCTGGCTCATGGGGTTAAACACCAGCAGCGCCTCCTCCAGGGCCTTCTTCCCAGCTGTGGAGATCCGCGACCAGGAGTGCACAGCTTTCTCCTCCGCATGCTGCACCGCCACGCTCATGGCATTAGGCGCTGCAGGTCTGCCTGGGTATCCACAGACCAGGGCTCGGCACCTCCAAAGCAAAAAGGAGAGAACAAAGTTAAAAACAGCACAGGGCCAAGGGGCCAGGGGCCAGGGCAGGCGGCCGGCCGGTCAGGGCCTGTACCTCCAAGGTGGTAGCCAGAAACACAGGGGCCTGGCCAGGTGAGCTGCTCCTGGAGGCTGAGCCCTGGTCTCCTGACCTACCACAGGGGTGGGGTGGGGTGGGGGTGGGGGACCTGCATGGGTCGGAGGCAGTTTCTTCAGAATATATGCCCACAAGCTCACCAGAGCCCTTCAACGTGCTGTTGGGTTCCTGGAACTATCTGAGCCTGGCTGGCCCCCTGTAAATCGATTCTGTATTCTCCGAGACCAGAAACCGGGTGGTAGACGCCATGCTTGGAACACAGGTGAGCCTCTCTGTCCTCAAGAAGCCCTGCACAGAAGGTAAGACAGAGACACCACCGAGGTTCTTGGAAGGCACCCAGCTCAGCTTGCCAATGGGCCAGGAAAGGGTTCCTGAGAGAGGCAGCACCCAGCTGGGACGTGAGTGATGAGCAAAAATGGGAGCAGAAAGGGGGGCAGCCGATACAATGGCTCAAATGCAACTGGGGTCTGGTCAAGGCAGAGAGATCTAGCTGGCAAAACAGTTTCGTGAAAGCAGGGGAACACGAGCCTTGAACACCAGACCTGCACCCAATGCCCATGCTCATTTGTTCCTCCAGTTGCTCAGATGTGAACCTCTCTGCCCATCAGAAGTTCTGCTTTCAAAGTCCCTAAACAGGCCCCTCTGTGGTCTGATTCCCAGCACTAGAGTCATGGAGACAAACGTTAGGGAAAGAGCCACACTCCCCTTCAACAGAAACTGAAATGACAGGTTGCAGCAGGTACTACTGATGTGTCTGTGGGGAAGCCGGCAGCCTGACCAAGAGCCCAAAGTCTGACAAGGGAAGCCACAAGCTCCAAACAGAATGGTTAGAAGGGGGTCACTGCAGAGATTTGAGCTCCCCTAATTAGGGCTTGTTAGGCCTCAGACCTCCGTACAGCGCAGGCGGAGCTGCCTGTGAGCACTCAAGCTCTCTCGGCTTCTCTGAAGAAGCTGTAGGCTGTCAGTCAGGGCCAGCATACAAAGCCCAACCCAGCCCTGAGGGCCCCCAAGGAACCAGCCCAGCTCCATCAAGACCTTTAAAAGATCAGCTGGGACCATGCCGGCCCCTGGGGCCAGGAGGCGCGTCAGTGCAGCTTCTCCCCGCCGCCCTAATGGAGCGGAGGACGTTTTCAGAATCCCCTGGAGGAAGTGCCCTGGGGCTCTTTTGTTTGGCAACATTCCTGGATCCTCAGGTGTCTTGGGCACTTCCCCTCCCCAGAGGCCCTTTTCCCAGCACAGTCCTGGCACACGGCTCCAGTTCTTTATTTCATTTTTTCCAGGGGATGTACTTCCCGCGACTGTGAACCGTACAGGAGGGAGTGACCTATTCACCTCAGGCACATTTTGGGGGTGAACCGGGGGCTCTTCCGCCCGGGTCGGTCTGGGCCCTTGGGCGGGGTCTTCTGGGCTTTCCAAGAGGCTACGGAAACAAGGCTGCAGCCCGGCCCCTCACTCCCCTTCACGCGCGCCCCGGGGTCGGGCCAGAAGTTCTAAGATGGGAGACAGGAAAGGCCCCATCCAAGCGGACCCGGGGTGGGGGCACACCGTGGCCTGGGGCTCCCGGGGCCCGAGCCGCGGGTGAGAGCAGGGCTCCTGGGGGCAGCGAAACGCACGAGGCGGGCACTGCGAACCCAAGCCGGTCGCGCAGCGCGGGTGGGGTCGTTGGGCGCGGGGTGGGGGCGGGGTGGGGGGTCTCGGCCGGGCCGGCGGAGGGCGCGGGTCCCGAAAGAGCCGGCCGTCCGGCCCACCGCCCTGCCGTCCCGCGGACGGTCCCTCCGCCGCGCGGCTAGGCCCATGGCCCCAACCTACCGGCGCCGCCGCGGGGACCCAAGACGCGCCTCTGCGCCGCCTCCGCTGCTCCAACATGGCCGCCCGCTGCGCACCGGAAGTGGGTCGCGCTTCCGCTTCCGGGACCCCCGCCCCGCCCTCGTGACCCTTGACCCCCCATGATCCCGTTTCCCCCAAAGTCTGGGGAGGGGCAGGTGGGCAACCAGGGAAGGCTTCCTGGAGGAGGTGGCGTGGGGGGGACTGTTCCGGACCCTTCTGGGCCTGAACAGAGTCTGAGGGGCGGAGGAGCTCTCGGGAGGACTGGAGCAAGGGACCCACTGGCACCCTCTCTGAGGGGCTTGGTGGTGCTGCGACACCAGGGAGGTGCCACCACCTTCTGGTATTTCCCCCTGATACCTGCCTCTGTCCCAGGCTTCTGAGAGTGTTGCAGGGGATCCCCAAGAATAGGGCTCAGTGCATGTGGTTGTGAAGGGCTGGTGCGCACAAGGGCTACACACAAGCCGCAGCTAGCACGTCCAGTCTGTGAGTCCTGGCATACCCGTGCCGGCCTCAGCGTACTTGCCTAGGAACCCGTGCATGTGTGCAGTGGGAGTGCACACAGTGGCCCAACTGCACCCCTCAGAGGCAGGAAGTCCTGCCTCCAGCCTTAACTCTGCCCAGAAGGCCAGTCCTTTTGCCTAGTCCTTCCACCTGTACCCTGGGGCCAGCAGAGGGGTGGTGGCTCCAGGGTGCACTGTCAGGCGGCACCATATGAGAGGACACAGGTCAGAATTAACCTTAGGAGTCTCAGGGGTCAGAATGATCACCGTTCTGACCAAAGGCCCCTCTTGGTCGGGGGCCCCAAGGCCAGGTTGGGAGCCCACACAGAGCCCTTTTTCATGGATAAGAGGGTACAGGTGTTTGCACTGGGGTTAGAGCCTGGGCTAGAAGGAGGAAATATGGCCACAACTCTTGAACCCTGCTGTGACCAGTGGTGCCAAATTTGGTTGCTAGGGCAAATAGAGAGGCCTGTGGGCAGCCACAGGAGAGTGGCTGGGTGCATGGAACTAGTTAACAGCCCTCCTCCCTCCCCATGTGACCCCAGAATCCTCTGGCTCCTCTACATTTACCTGCCTATAAAGAGGGGTCTGGACACCCCCAAAGAGAAACCCCCACCCCCATCCTAGGCCTCACCTGGTACCCCAGAGCTTCCCAGGGCTTCAGCATTCATGATGAATCCTCAGTCCCTTCAAGTGCAGCCAAGGTGTCTGTCCAGCAGGAAATGCAAACCTCCTACCTGTCTGGGCTTAGTCCTTCTAGCCCCTCATCCTGAGAGAGAGAAGGGAAGGGTGGTGTCCCAGAACCAGAGTTTCAGGGGGTGCAATCAGGAAGTCTCACTTTAGCACCTCCAGTCCCCAGATGTAGGTGAGCCCTATCTCTGTCCCTCCATCCATGGCTCAGGATTGGCTGTTCACTCTCAAAACCAATCCAGCCCCTCCTTCTACCCCAGTTTTCTTCTGCAGCTTCTCCAAAGCCAGCAGTGCTTGCCTCCTAGTGCAGGTGGGCCCAGGGCTTTGTAAACAGAAGCCACTCCCATGAAGAGGGCAGAGCACAGCCAGCCTCCAGGGTTGGCATGGGCCTAGATGAATCCTGGAAAGGGAATCTCTCTCTGATGATGTCCAGCCAAAGATCAGTCCAAAATGGAGGACCAGGAAGGCAGGTTCATCCTCGTACTATGCTCTCCTTCCAGACATTAGAACTGGGGAAATGGGAGGGCTTGGGGGTAAGGGGCATGGGTACATAGCTGCCTGAAGGGAGGTTAATACTTCTGCCTCTTGGTACCCAGTATCTACCAGATGGAACTCTGTGGCAGTAGTCATCGGAACAAGCCTGTTGGATGGATGCTGACCCTATATGCATAACTGGGATCAGACAGGATGAAGCTGGAAGAGACCAGCCCTTGCTCTCCACTTGGCATCTTTTATGGCTCTGGGTGATGGGCCCTAGACCCATATACACCTGAACAGAGATCTGAAGGAGATCCGGATGTGCGTGAGGCCAGTGGCCCGGGGGGGGATCACCCCAGGAGAGGGGTAGACTCTATGCAGAAAAGCCAGGGTTGGATCTTGAGAAGCCCCTTCCTGGGGAGAGGAAGCAGGGCCTGTAGAAGACCCTGAGAGGCAGGATGAGCAGCAGGCCAAGGTCATAGGTAAGGTGAAGGCCAAAGGGACCCTTAATTTTAGCTACAGTGTTCCAGGGTAACTCTGGCAAGAGCAATTTTTTGGAGGAGCAGTGGACATAAGGTGGCCAATAGCAAGGCTGTAGGATCTGAGAGCAGTGGCTTCAAGAATTTGGAGGAAGGGGAGACTGCAGGGATTTGAATGTACCCAGAGCTGGAGGTGTCTAAAAGTGAGGCATTTTTAATGGACTTCACTGCTGGGAAGCAGAGGGGAGGGGGCCCTGAAAGAAAATAGTGGGAAATGGGAGGGGTGGCGGGGTCGTGCGATCACCCCATGGAGGAAGCTGCCTGAGGATCAGGTCGGGCAGAGCAGAGCGGGAAGACGGAAGCCTTTCTGCCAGAGTCTGTGACCACTTCCACACAGGCCTCCGGCGGAACAGGCAGAGGGCTCCCTGGTCAAGGAGAAGGCTCTGGGCAGGCTCCGTGGGCAGGCAGGCCAGGGAAGCGGTGCCCCCAGCCAGCCATGGAGCCATGATGGAAGGGAGGTTGAGAGTAAGCACCCCAGCAGCCCTTGTTGACGGCGGGGGCAGTAGTGTGGGGCTGCAGTGCCACCCAGGCTCCCAGAGGCCCAGCAGGCTTTGGTCCCAGCTGGCCAGGCAGTAACTGGCTTGATGACACACCCTCTCTTGGCTGCTTTTCCTGTCTCCTTGCCACGCCTCTGCTGGCGCTTCCTGGCTTCACCGCCCACATTAACTACGCACTCGTGTCTGTCGGTGTGAGTGCGGAAAGTGAGACAGACACTGTGCGTTAGTAGCAGCGTAGACAGCTACGGGGACCTCTTCTCCCAGGTGACCCCTGACCGCATGAAGGGGTCCAGCCCACGGACCTAGCCGGGGCTCCGAAGGTTCAGAAGCCAGGCTGGCCACCGCCTGGGTCTGCGGCAGGCAGGCCTGGGTCGCACCAACTAGAGAGCTGGCTCGGCAGGCCCAGGCCGCTGGAGACAGGCAGTCACAGAGCTCTCTGCGGCCCGGAGAGCCCAGGCCTCAGGCCCTACAGACTGAGGCCAGAGAGGCCTGGCCGGCCCATCCAGGCTCAGAGCTGCCCTCCCCTCCAAGAATGCCGCCCCCCTCCCGCCCCAGGCCCGTGGAAGGGCCCGTCAAGCACCGGGGCCGGCACCGCCTGCTCCTCCACGGCTGCTGGCCTCAGCGTGCACCACGGGACCTCTTCCGTGCCCTGCTCGGTGCCTGGGGACCGGCGGCCGGCGGCCACCCCCACTGGACAGGGCCCAGCCGCGCGCGTCCCGAGCGGCCTCCAGGGGGCGTCGCCGCGCAGCCGGCGGGGGCTCCGCCGGCCCGCCCCCCGCCGCACGTGCGGCGCTGCTTTCCGCCGCCTCATTTCTCCCCAGCCTGAGGTCGATGCCTAGACCCTGAGCAGGCGCAGCGTCCGCTTGTCCACGAGTCTGCTCATCGGCTTGCGCGGGGCACGGTCGGCGCGCCCCGCTCCGGCCGCGGCAGGTGCAGGGTTAAGGCGGGGGGAGGCTTCCGCAGTCGGTGGGGGACGAGGGGCGGACCCCGGCCGGCCCCGCCCCACGCCGGAGCAGAGCCCGAGCCCCGCGGAGCCTCGCCGAGGCCGGCCGCAACCCCAGCCGGACCGGAGCCGGCACCGAAGGAGCCGTATCGGCGGACCCCGCGCCCCGGCGGCGCCGGAGCCCCGGCCGGTGAGTCCCGCGGGCGCCGCGCTCAGGGGAAGTTTGGGGCGCGGGGTACAGAGCCGCAGCGCTCTCGCCCGGACCCCTCCCACGCGCTACAAGTTTGGTGCCAGGAGGCTCCCGCGCCAGGGGTCCCAGGAGCGTGGTCCCCGCGGCAAAGGAGGGGCCGGGCTTTGGGGGGTGTGCTGTGAGGGGACCCAAAAGTCCAGCTGCCCGTTCCTGCTGGAAATGCCTGGAGTCTGGGCCCCTAGAGCCCTGAGCTCACGGGATCCCCAAATCGTCCCCCCAGCCCCCTTCTGGACAACGAGGAGGCTGGCCTCTGGGAACCGTGGCCTGGGCAAAACCCTGAGAGTAGAAGGGGAGAATGAAGGACCCTGGCGTGCAGCTCCTCCCCTCCCGGTCCCGTACGCCCTGATCTCACCTCCTGCCGGTGGGAATGGATGAACTCTATGGAATGGCCCCGAAAGGGGTTGTAGGGATACCCCGAAGTCTGACCCCGGCAGCAGGTGCCCGGGGCGCCGTAACGGGGAGGGTACAGTAGTGGACAGGAAGGGGCAGGGCAGAGTCCTATCCCAGTCACTTATCCCCCACCTAGACCCGGATTCTTGCCAGGGAGCTCCCAGGGGAGGGCAGGGGGTGTAGCGGAACTGGCCCTGACCCTGCCCCAGAGGGAGGAGAGAATCTGCCCCGGGCTCTCGGAGTCTGCCCTCCTTCCCACTCCTGGAGGCTCCACGGTGGCATGCTGGCCCGCGAGGCTGTGTTCTCCCGCTGCCTTCCCACCAGGGATTTGGGGCCGGCCCTGTCTTGGATTCCAGAAGGCGTGCCTGTACCCAGAGGGCCTGCCCCCTGTGGCCCTGACCCTTTGCTTCCCCTCTCTTCCTCAGGTGAAGGCCTCCCTGGAGCTCTGGTGGAGTCCAGATGAGGCCCCACCGTGTCCCTCAGTGAGGCCTGCAACTTGAGCGGACAGCATGGCCTGCCACCGGAGGTGAACACCATGGCCACAGGAGGCGGCCGGGCCTTCGCCTGGCAGGTGCTTCCCCCCATGCCCACCTGCCGGGTCTATGGCACAGTGGCATGCCAGGACGGGCACCTGCTAGTGCTGGGGGGCTGCGGCCGGGCTGGGCTGCCCCTGGACGCCGCTGAGACACTGGACATGAGCTCCCACGCATGGCTGGCACTGGCGCCCCTGCCCACTGCCCGGGCTGGTGCAGCTGCTGTGGCACTGGGCAAGCAGGTGCTCATGGTGGGCGGTGTGGATGAAGGCCAGAGTCCAGTGGCTGCTGTGGAGGCCTTCCTGGCTGATGAGGGCCGCTGGGAGCGTCGGGCTTCCCTTCCTCAGGCAGCCATGGGGGTTGCGACTGTTGAGAGAGGTGAGTCTCCTTAGGGAATATCCCTCGGGTGCCCCAGCACCTTCCGCTCCTTCCTGACTTGGTCCCTGACCCGCAGAGATTGGACAAGAACCATAAAGTTTGTGGGAGTGCCCCGGCTACGGCTCTGTCTCCCACCCCTGCCCCTGCGGAGCTCTGGGCTGGGCTTGCAGTGGCCTTATCTGCTTTTTTCCATCTGTGAGGTGGGAGGCAGAGCCCAGGCTGGCCCCCAGCGTGCAGGGAAGCCCCAGCCACCTCCCTGCCCAATTCTCCTTCTCTAAGAAACAGGGAGGGGTGGCCCAAAGACTCCCAGGGTTATAAATAGTCTGGGGAGGGGGAGGGGAGCATGGCCTTGGCTCAGAGCCCAGTAAGTGCTTAGATTCCTCCGTGCACACACATACCAGGGAGCCTGAGGCAGACAAAGGCCGAGCTGCCCTGGGGACAGTTGCCATGGAAGCCCCCAGCTGACTGGCCTACATCCCCAAGGCCTCCAGACATGCCCCCAATTGACCCTGAGGGTGTAACAGGGCAAGAACCTAATGGAGGTGCGGGCAGGGCTCCTGGACAGAAGGCTTGTGACCCGTTCCCTCGTCCTGGGCCCAAGCTCCTCTCCCAGCCTCCCAGCTGATCCCCAGAATCTCTCCCTAGTCTGAGCTCTGTGCTGAGCTGATCCCCATCTGACCCTGGCTACAGACTTAAACCATCCTCCAACCTCCTTCCCCCAGGGGAGCTCCCACCTTGAGGCCTCCAGGTCTGACCACTGGTCCTGCTTGGATGCCAGACTTGGTTGCCATAGCATCTCCAGGGAGACAGAGACGGATTATAATTAGATCAGCTGCCTCCCAGCTCTTCATTTGGAGGGGCCCTGGCCAGAGCAGGAATCCTGCCTGTCTCAGCCCCTACTCCAGGCAGGCAGGAGGGTCTCAGCTGCCGCCAAGGACCACAAACATGCGGAGCTCCAGCCACCCAGACCTGAGCAGGGTGGCTGTCAGTGTGGGGTGCCCTGGCCAGGCCAGGGTGCAGTGTGAATTACTCTTTTCTGTGCAGATGGTATGGTGTATGCTCTGGGGGGAATGGGCCCCGACACGGCCCCGCAGGCCCAGGTTCGGATGTATGAACCCCGCCAGGACTGCTGGCTTTCGTTACCCTCTATGCCCACACCCTGCTACGGGGCCTCCACCTTCCTGCATGGGAACAAGATCTACGTCCTGGGTAAGGGCCAGGGGGTGGGGACGTGGGAAAGGGGCTCCTCGTCCAGAGGCACCTAGCCCCGTAGGTTGGCCAGGACAGGCTTAGTCAGGGATGGTGAGAAGAGAGAAGCTTTGTTAGGGCGAGACAGGCTGCTCAGGGACCCTGGCCTCCGGGGGCCCTGCTGGGGCTGGGAAAGCAAACCCGAGAGCCTGAGGACCTGTCTGTCGGGGGAGGAATCCCTGCTCTGGTGTGCACATGGCTGTGTGTGGGTGGCGGGTCAGGAGCCTGGTGGAGGAGAGCCTGTGAGGCCTCCCAGGCTCCCCGCCAGGTGCCCTGTCCTATTGGCAGGGGGCCGCCAGGGCAAGCTTCCGGTGACTGCTTTCGAGGCCTTTGATCTGGAGGCCCGCACCTGGACACGGCACCCGAGCCTACCCAGCCGCCGGGCCTTTGCTGGCTGCACCATGGTTGAAGGCAGTGTCTTTAGCCTGGGTGGCCTGCAGCAGCCTGGGCCCCACAATTTCTACTCCCGGCCACACTTTGTCAACACTGTGGAGGTGTTCGACCTGGAGCATGGTGAGTGGTGGCTGCCTGGGACGGAGGGCGTAGGGTGGGGCACACTCTGACCTGCCCTCTCCTGCAGGGTCCTGGACCAAGCTGCCCCGCAGCCTGCGCATGAGAGAGAAGAGGGCCGACTTCGTGGTTGGCTCCCTCGGGGGCCACGTCGTGGCCATCGGGGGCCTTGGTGAGTCTTTGTGGGGCAAGGGAAAGGATGGGAGCCCAAGACAGGAAAGCAGCTGCCCTGGCGTGAGCGCCGCTCCTGCCGTTCTCTAGACACTGCAGAGGCCGGGGCTTCAGGAGGGCCCCTTTCCTGACTTGCAAGGCAGGCAGGCTGTGGTCCATGTGGCCCAGCTCTTGGGGTACCCACAGAGCCTGGCTGAGGGCTCTGTACCAGCAGGGGCTGGGGACAGAAATAGGACAGAGGACCTCTGAGTGAGTGAATGGGGGGAGTGAGTAGCCAGGCATGGACAGCCCATCCCGGGGTGGCGCCTGCTGGGCCATGCTCGCCTCACAGCCTGTACCCTGTCCAACTTCTGTCTCCTTGCAGGAAACCAGCCATGCCCCCTGGGCTCCGTGGAGGGCTTCAGCCTTGCACGGCAGCGCTGGGAGGCACTGCCTGCCATGCCCACGGCTCGCTGCTCCTGTTCTAGTCTGCAGGCAGGGCCCCGGCTGTTTGTTATCGGGGGTGTGGCCCAGGGTCCCAGCCAAGCTGTGGAGGCACTCTGTCTGCGTGACGGGGTCTGAATGCATGATGGCACCTGTTCATTGAAGCAGCTTGGTGCCGGCACAGACGTCTGTGGCTCCTTTGGCTGCAAGGAAGCTCACTGTGTCTCTGTGGGATGAAGGGGACCCAGGGGTGGGTACTCAAGACGCTGCCTCGGGGACTTGGGGCCCTCGTCTTTAGTGCGGGACACATATACACTCTATCCCCATTCATTCATGGGGCGCTCCTGGCTCCATCTCTGCTCAGCTCTGGAACCTACTGGGCCCAGTGTGGCACCGGGAAGTGGAGGGAAGTGGGGGCCAGCCTCATGCCCCACAGGGCCAGGCCGACCTGGAATTGACCAGGCTGTCCGGAAAAGTCCTAGCTGCCAGCCTGCCTTGGGGCTCCTGTGGACGCAGGAGACATGGAGGGAAGGAAGAGCGGCCGTGGGAGCCTCCAGAGGGCCAGAGGCATGGCGCTTTCACGCTCCTCACACTCTGCTCTGGGGCCTCGGGCACGCCGCTTCACCTCTGTGTGCCCGAGCAGCCCCATGTGCCAAGGGGGATCTCTAAAGCCTTCCTGCCTTCCTCACAGGGCTGTTGTGAGGACCAGGGGGCCACCCGTGCAAGTAAAAGTGCTGCTGAAACCTGGTGTGGCCCCACTGTGCGCACCCCGGTGCCCTGCAGCCCTGGGTCATCCTTCTTGGGCCTGTCTCCCAGGGAGGAGGTCCCGAGGAGCCCCTGCCCCCTAAGTGCTGTGGTGTCTCGGCCCCACCTGAGCCTCGGCTCACAGCCATCGCCCCCATCCTAGGTGACCAGAGAAGAGCTCAGGAAACTACAGCAGGATGCCGTGGGGTTAGGATGTCCTCCAGTCCATGTCACAAGCATCTCCTCAAAGCCTGTGTTTGCGTCCACGGGCAGGGCGGTGGCCGGTGTGGGCTGTGGCTGGGACAGTCTCCCTCAGCCCCAGGGCAGGACAGTGTGACGCCCACCAGTGCTCTAGAGGCTCTCAGCCCTTGCTGCGCCCCAGCCTCTGCTGCCCACTCCTGGGGCCGTAGATGCTGCTTCCCTGCCAACAGTCAGCACTGGGGCTCACAGCCCATTTGCTACGAGCACGGACTCGTCTGGGGCCTACCTGTGGTGGCTTCACCGGGACAGCACCTCCCCACCTGCCCAGCATGCAGGCAGGGAGAGCAGCAGGGAGCCAGGTGCAGCCTGTGAGGCCCTACTGCCCCGGCCTCCGAGACCCAAGGGCTGCAAGCACAGACAGGCCTTGGGATCAGCCATTCTTGTTTAATGCTCTTGACCAGTTTAAAGACACTCAGAGACCCCTGTGTGAAGGTAATGCAGCAGCTGAGGCCTTGGGGTCCCCGGGAGGTCAGGCAGTGTGTTGGTGGCCAGGGCACCGTCACTGCCACAGTGGTCACCCCGGGATGGCTGGCAGAAGTTCTGCTGGTAGATGGTGCTGGCACAGGGAGGCTGGATCCGCACAAAGTGGATGAGGCTCTGGGGGAAACCACTGAGTCCTGGGCCTGAGCGGAAGTCAGCCTGGTAGGAGGATTCCAGGGGCCGCTGCTGGTGCAGCTCCAGCTCACAGGGTGCCCAGCGCAGGAAGGTGCGTCACTCCCAGAGGTGCTCCAGGTCTTTCTGCCTGCCGATGCCCTGCAGCAGGCAGCAGGGGCCCTCCTCAGCGGTATGGGCCCTTGGCCCACAGTCCCGGCACCAGGCACCCCTTGGGGCCCCTCCGAGGCCCCTAACCTGCGTAGTGACACCCAGCCTCCCTGGCCCATACCCCAGGCTCCTCGGCTTGCCTGCCTGGCCATGCCTTCCATTCCAGGGTGAACCCCCCAGAAAGTTGGGGGCCACTAGGACATTGACACCCTGTCAGGCAGGCTGGCAGAGAAGCCAGAGCAGAGGCACCTCTGGGGAACAGGCTGCTTCCAAGAGGAGAGCCTGGGCTGGCCCCCCACCTTCCTGTAGCACTCACCCTGTCGAAGGAAGTACAGTTGTCATGCTTGGAGAACAAGTGCTGCCTCGCTGATTCCTGGAAAGACCATGAGAAAGAAGGTGGGTGGGACCTTGCCCACCTGCTCCCCATGTCACCTCAGGGCTGCAGGGGAGGGAGGTGCTGGGATCCACCCGCAAACCGCTGCACTGCCCGCACCCTGAGGACACAGGAAGCAAGGCGCCACCTCATCCTGGGGACACCTGCCCCCAGCAGCAGCTCCTGGGGCCGCCGACTGAGGCAGGGGCTTGGGGGCTGTGGCTGGAGCCTCAGGGGGTCCCCAGTGAGGTCACACAGACCGGGCTGCAGCCCTCCCTCTACCCACACCTACTCTCCACCGGTGGCCCAGGCTCTGGCCCCAGGTCCACCAGGAAACTCAAATTCCTCTCTGGCGTGAGAACGCTCAGCTCTATACTCTGGCCAACCGCAGCTCCACGTTGCTACGTAAATGACTGATGGGAGTCCCCGGCTCCGGGCCATTCCCCACACCCAGCTCACCTGCAGCCTCCCCCAGCCCAGGCCCTTGAGTCCCCTGGATTCCTGTCCTTCACGCCCTATATCCAGGGTGCTGGGGATCCTGGTGACACCTCCTTCCCTGAGCACCCAGGGTCAGATGCCCCTCAGCATGGCACTGCTCTCCCCATCCCGAGGCCACCTTCCTCTCCTGCAAAGCTTAACTGCTGCTTCCAAACCTGCTCTTCTAGCCTGCTGCCCTCTCAGCAGGCAGAATCATTCTTTAAATGTGTGCGTCAGGTCACACCCTGTCGCAGAAAAGGCTCCGTAGTTCCTCAGGTCGTCGTGTGGCCCACGAGGCCCACACTGTCGGCCCTCTGGAAGCACACGGCTGTCCTCCCCACCTGTCCCTCTGCTGGGGTGCTGGGCCCCTGACCAGGACGCATGGGCAGTAGTGGCTGGCTGCCTTGCTCATGTCTGTAGCTCCAAGACTGAACGCCCTGGCTGGCACTGTGCGCCGTTAAATAAATGAGCAGGGACGGAAGGTCCCCATGGCATTTGCTTTGGCCCAGCTGTAGCCAGAGAGCTGTGCCCCATCCCCAGGCAGACAATGACCACCTCTCAGGCCCTCAGACTTCATCAGGAATCGCTCCCCAAACCATCCTTGCCTTTATGACTAGTGTCTGTCCCCAGATCCCACGCCCCAGCCCCTCAGCGTCCCCTGCTGCGGGCCCGACGTGGTGACCTCAGTCCTGAGCAGGGTGGCTGTCAGTGTGGGGTGCCCTGGCCAGGCCAGGGTGCAGTGTGAATTACTCTTTTCTGTGCAGATGGTATGGTGTATGCTCTGGGGGGAATGGGCCCCGACACGGCCCCGCAGGCCCAGGTTCGGATGTATGAACCCCGCCAGGACTGCTGGCTTTCGTTACCCTCTATGCCCACACCCTGCTACGGGGCCTCCACCTTCCTGCATGGGAACAAGATCTACGTCCTGGGTAAGGGCCAGGGGGTGGGGACGTGGGAAAGGGGCTCCTCGTCCAGAGGCACCTAGCCCCGTAGGTTGGCCAGGACAGGCTTAGTCAGGGATGGTGAGAAGAGAGAAGCTTTGTTAGGGCGAGACAGGCTGCTCAGGGACCCTGGCCTCCGGGGGCCCTGCTGGGGCTGGGAAAGCAAACCCGAGAGCCTGAGGACCTGTCTGTCGGGGGAGGAATCCCTGCTCTGGTGTGCACATGGCTGTGTGTGGGTGGCGGGTCAGGAGCCTGGTGGAGGAGAGCCTGTGAGGCCTCCCAGGCTCCCCGCCAGGTGCCCTGTCCTATTGGCAGGGGGCCGCCAGGGCAAGCTTCCGGTGACTGCTTTCGAGGCCTTTGATCTGGAGGCCCGCACCTGGACACGGCACCCGAGCCTACCCAGCCGCCGGGCCTTTGCTGGCTGCACCATGGTTGAAGGCAGTGTCTTTAGCCTGGGTGGCCTGCAGCAGCCTGGGCCCCACAATTTCTACTCCCGGCCACACTTTGTCAACACTGTGGAGGTGTTCGACCTGGAGCATGGTGAGTGGTGGCTGCCTGGGACGGAGGGCGTAGGGTGGGGCACACTCTGACCTGCCCTCTCCTGCAGGGTCCTGGACCAAGCTGCCCCGCAGCCTGCGCATGAGAGAGAAGAGGGCCGACTTCGTGGTTGGCTCCCTCGGGGGCCACGTCGTGGCCATCGGGGGCCTTGGTGAGTCTTTGTGGGGCAAGGGAAAGGATGGGAGCCCAAGACAGGAAAGCAGCTGCCCTGGCGTGAGCGCCGCTCCTGCCGTTCTCTAGACACTGCAGAGGCCGGGGCTTCAGGAGGGCCCCTTTCCTGACTTGCAAGGCAGGCAGGCTGTGGTCCATGTGGCCCAGCTCTTGGGGTACCCACAGAGCCTGGCTGAGGGCTCTGTACCAGCAGGGGCTGGGGACAGAAATAGGACAGAGGACCTCTGAGTGAGTGAATGGGGGGAGTGAGTAGCCAGGCATGGACAGCCCATCCCGGGGTGGCGCCTGCTGGGCCATGCTCGCCTCACAGCCTGTACCCTGTCCAACTTCTGTCTCCTTGCAGGAAACCAGCCATGCCCCCTGGGCTCCGTGGAGGGCTTCAGCCTTGCACGGCAGCGCTGGGAGGCACTGCCTGCCATGCCCACGGCTCGCTGCTCCTGTTCTAGTCTGCAGGCAGGGCCCCGGCTGTTTGTTATCGGGGGTGTGGCCCAGGGTCCCAGCCAAGCTGTGGAGGCACTCTGTCTGCGTGACGGGGTCTGAATGCATGATGGCACCTGTTCATTGAAGCAGCTTGGTGCCGGCACAGACGTCTGTGGCTCCTTTGGCTGCAAGGAAGCTCACTGTGTCTCTGTGGGATGAAGGGGACCCAGGGGTGGGTACTCAAGACGCTGCCTCGGGGACTTGGGGCCCTCGTCTTTAGTGCGGGACACATATACACTCTATCCCCATTCATTCATGGGGCGCTCCTGGCTCCATCTCTGCTCAGCTCTGGAACCTACTGGGCCCAGTGTGGCACCGGGAAGTGGAGGGAAGTGGGGGCCAGCCTCATGCCCCACAGGGCCAGGCCGACCTGGAATTGACCAGGCTGTCCGGAAAAGTCCTAGCTGCCAGCCTGCCTTGGGGCTCCTGTGGACGCAGGAGACATGGAGGGAAGGAAGAGCGGCCGTGGGAGCCTCCAGAGGGCCAGAGGCATGGCGCTTTCACGCTCCTCACACTCTGCTCTGGGGCCTCGGGCACGCCGCTTCACCTCTGTGTGCCCGAGCAGCCCCATGTGCCAAGGGGGATCTCTAAAGCCTTCCTGCCTTCCTCACAGGGCTGTTGTGAGGACCAGGGGGCCACCCGTGCAAGTAAAAGTGCTGCTGAAACCTGGTGTGGCCCCACTGTGCGCACCCCGGTGCCCTGCAGCCCTGGGTCATCCTTCTTGGGCCTGTCTCCCAGGGAGGAGGTCCCGAGGAGCCCCTGCCCCCTAAGTGCTGTGGTGTCTCGGCCCCACCTGAGCCTCGGCTCACAGCCATCGCCCCCATCCTAGGTGACCAGAGAAGAGCTCAGGAAACTACAGCAGGATGCCGTGGGGTTAGGATGTCCTCCAGTCCATGTCACAAGCATCTCCTCAAAGCCTGTGTTTGCGTCCACGGGCAGGGCGGTGGCCGGTGTGGGCTGTGGCTGGGACAGTCTCCCTCAGCCCCAGGGCAGGACAGTGTGACGCCCACCAGTGCTCTAGAGGCTCTCAGCCCTTGCTGCGCCCCAGCCTCTGCTGCCCACTCCTGGGGCCGTAGATGCTGCTTCCCTGCCAACAGTCAGCACTGGGGCTCACAGCCCATTTGCTACGAGCACGGACTCGTCTGGGGCCTACCTGTGGTGGCTTCACCGGGACAGCACCTCCCCACCTGCCCAGCATGCAGGCAGGGAGAGCAGCAGGGAGCCAGGTGCAGCCTGTGAGGCCCTACTGCCCCGGCCTCCGAGACCCAAGGGCTGCAAGCACAGACAGGCCTTGGGATCAGCCATTCTTGTTTAATGCTCTTGACCAGTTTAAAGACACTCAGAGACCCCTGTGTGAAGGTAATGCAGCAGCTGAGGCCTTGGGGTCCCCGGGAGGTCAGGCAGTGTGTTGGTGGCCAGGGCACCGTCACTGCCACAGTGGTCACCCCGGGATGGCTGGCAGAAGTTCTGCTGGTAGATGGTGCTGGCACAGGGAGGCTGGATCCGCACAAAGTGGATGAGGCTCTGGGGGAAACCACTGAGTCCTGGGCCTGAGCGGAAGTCAGCCTGGTAGGAGGATTCCAGGGGCCGCTGCTGGTGCAGCTCCAGCTCACAGGGTGCCCAGCGCAGGAAGGTGCGTCACTCCCAGAGGTGCTCCAGGTCTTTCTGCCTGCCGATGCCCTGCAGCAGGCAGCAGGGGCCCTCCTCAGCGGTATGGGCCCTTGGCCCACAGTCCCGGCACCAGGCACCCCTTGGGGCCCCTCCGAGGCCCCTAACCTGCGTAGTGACACCCAGCCTCCCTGGCCCATACCCCAGGCTCCTCGGCTTGCCTGCCTGGCCATGCCTTCCATTCCAGGGTGAACCCCCCAGAAAGTTGGGGGCCACTAGGACATTGACACCCTGTCAGGCAGGCTGGCAGAGAAGCCAGAGCAGAGGCACCTCTGGGGAACAGGCTGCTTCCAAGAGGAGAGCCTGGGCTGGCCCCCCACCTTCCTGTAGCACTCACCCTGTCGAAGGAAGTACAGTTGTCATGCTTGGAGAACAAGTGCTGCCTCGCTGATTCCTGGAAAGACCATGAGAAAGAAGGTGGGTGGGACCTTGCCCACCTGCTCCCCATGTCACCTCAGGGCTGCAGGGGAGGGAGGTGCTGGGATCCACCCGCAAACCGCTGCACTGCCCGCACCCTGAGGACACAGGAAGCAAGGCGCCACCTCATCCTGGGGACACCTGCCCCCAGCAGCAGCTCCTGGGGCCGCCGACTGAGGCAGGGGCTTGGGGGCTGTGGCTGGAGCCTCAGGGGGTCCCCAGTGAGGTCACACAGACCGGGCTGCAGCCCTCCCTCTACCCACACCTACTCTCCACCGGTGGCCCAGGCTCTGGCCCCAGGTCCACCAGGAAACTCAAATTCCTCTCTGGCGTGAGAACGCTCAGCTCTATACTCTGGCCAACCGCAGCTCCACGTTGCTACGTAAATGACTGATGGGAGTCCCCGGCTCCGGGCCATTCCCCACACCCAGCTCACCTGCAGCCTCCCCCAGCCCAGGCCCTTGAGTCCCCTGGATTCCTGTCCTTCACGCCCTATATCCAGGGTGCTGGGGATCCTGGTGACACCTCCTTCCCTGAGCACCCAGGGTCAGATGCCCCTCAGCATGGCACTGCTCTCCCCATCCCGAGGCCACCTTCCTCTCCTGCAAAGCTTAACTGCTGCTTCCAAACCTGCTCTTCTAGCCTGCTGCCCTCTCAGCAGGCAGAATCATTCTTTAAATGTGTGCGTCAGGTCACACCCTGTCGCAGAAAAGGCTCCGTAGTTCCTCAGGTCGTCGTGTGGCCCACGAGGCCCACACTGTCGGCCCTCTGGAAGCACACGGCTGTCCTCCCCACCTGTCCCTCTGCTGGGGTGCTGGGCCCCTGACCAGGACGCATGGGCAGTAGTGGCTGGCTGCCTTGCTCATGTCTGTAGCTCCAAGACTGAACGCCCTGGCTGGCACTGTGCGCCGTTAAATAAATGAGCAGGGACGGAAGGTCCCCATGGCATTTGCTTTGGCCCAGCTGTAGCCAGAGAGCTGTGCCCCATCCCCAGGCAGAGAATGACCACCTCTCAGGCCCTCAGACTTCATCAGGAATCGCTCCCCAAACCATCCTTGCCTTTATGACTAGTGTCTGTCCCCAGATCCCACGCCCCAGCCCCTCAGCGTCCCCTGCTGCAGGCCCGACGTGGTGACCTCAGCTGTGGCAGGGCTGGAGGGTGCGCAATGGCTGACAGCAGCCCCCCAGCTAAGGCAGGCTTCTTCTGCCTTAGACAGCTAGTGGTGGTCTCTGAACAGAAACAAAGCTCATGGTGGGAGATGCCAGCCTTTCCTCATAAAGCAAGCTGACATGGCAAAGATTGAAAACCCCAGGTCCTTTCAGAAAAAAACAGGAGAAAATCTTCAGGATCTAGAGCTAGAGTTCATAGATCTAGGCTAAAAGTTCTTAGACTTGACACCAAAAGCAAGAGCCATAAAAGAAAAAACTGATAACATTGGACCTCATCAAAATTATAACAAAGTTTTGTTCTGTGAGTGTCCATGTGAAGAGGATGAAAAGACAAGCTACAGAGGGAGAGAAAATATTTGCAAACCACATGTATAATAAAGGACTAGTATCTAGAATGTACGAAGAACTCTCAGAACTCAACAGTAACATAACAAGCAGTCCAACTGGAAATGGGTAATGACATGCGGACACTTCCCCAAAGAGGTTTACACAGATAGCTGATAACAGATGGGAGGATTTTCCCCATCATTAAACTTCAGGGACATGCACATCAAAACCACAGTGAGATATACCATAACACATCAGAGCAGCTAAAACAAAAAGTAGAGGCGCCACCAAATGCTGGTGAAGATGCAGAGAAACCGGACCACTGTACACGGCTGGTGGGAGTGTAAATGGCACAGCCACTCTGGAAAAGTTTGGCTTTTTTTTTTTTTAAAAACTAAACATGCAGCTCTCATATGGCCCAGTAGTTGCACTCCTGGGTGTTTATATTTATCCCAAAGAAAAGTTATTTACCCAACAACCTGTATGCATATGTTTACAGCAGCTTTCTAAGAGCCAAACAGGAATCAGCCCAAACATCTTTGAAGAAGTGAATGGTTAAACAAAACTAGGGAAAGGGTTACCAGTGGTCAAACAAACATACTGTAGAATGCTGCTCAGTACTGAGCCACTGTCAGGCAGGCTGGCAGAGAAGCCAGAGCAGAGGCACCTCTGGGGAACGGGCTGCTTCCAAGAGGAGAGCCTGGGCTGGCCCCCCACCCTCCTGCAGCACTCACCCTGTCGAAGGAAGTGCAGTTGGACCTCTAGGAAATCATGCTGAGCAGGAAGAGCTGGTCCCCAAAGGCTTCACGCTGAATCATTCCATTTATGTAACATTTTTGAAGTGACAAAACTTCAGAAATGGAGAGCAGGCTGGTGGTTGCCAGGAGTAAGGGACAGGTGAAGGGCGGAGGAGTGGAAGGCTGGTGGGGTGGTCAGAAAAGGGCAGCACAGGATCCTTGTGATGTTGTCACGTCTACACTACGGTGGTAGACACAGAACCTACCCAGGTAGTGACATTTTGTAAATCTCTCTCTCTCACACACACCAAACGGAGTAAAACGGGAAATGTGCAGGAGGTGGGTTGGCTGCATCCACGTCTGTGTCCTGGTTGTGCTTTATACCACAGCTTCCCAAAATGCTGCCCCTGGGGGACACCAGGCAAGGCACAGAAGGATCTCTCTTTTGTTTCTTACAATTGCTGCTTATGATCCACAATCACCTCCATACAAACTTCAATTACACAAAACTCATGGGAGTCAGGGGCAAGTTCCAACTGACCTGAAACCTTTCTCCTGTCTCTGCCCCCTGCTGTGGAGCTGCACGCGGTTCTGTGGTGTGGGTACCTCGACTGTCCCGCAGCTCTGACTCTGGGTGGTATCCTCCCAGTGCCAGGGTAACCAGCTGACTCCCGCCGACCTGGGGTCGGTCCTCACCACTGTGGGAGCCTGGTTAGAAGGGGAGCCTCTTCCCATCCCCCAGGCAGCTCCAAGTGTCCCTGAACAGAATCTCACTGCATGTTTGTTCCTCAACCAGCCAGGGCTCCTTTCCGAGGAGGTGGTAAAGCCCATGGATGCCAGCAGGTGGGCCTGGGTGGGGCACCGTGTGCACATGGGAGGCCTGAGGGCCCCTGCGGAGCGGGGCACTTTGCAGCCAGTGGGGTGCTGAGGGAGAAGCCCCTGTGGCGGACAGAGGTGTGGCAGGGGTGGGAGGCAGGGACCCAGGGGTCATGGGGACACGGAGGGTGGGCCTGCCCCACCCAGGAGCCCCTGTGAGTCTTGGCTGACCATAAGAACAAACAGAACCAGGGTTACATTTCCCAAGAGTCAGGCAGGTGGAGGCTAGAAATAAATCAATCTGGTTTAAAGGGAAAAAGAATGTTCTTGCACCTGAATGACATGGACACAATTTCTCTCTGCCCCAAGTTCCCTCCCTGCACCAGGGTGGGTGACGCAGCTCAGGAAGGTTTAACCCGCAGTCAGCGCTGAAACTGGGCACCATCGGCTAATAAGAAAATAAAACGTGCTCCTTCCTGAGCAGTCCCACTAATTAAAACAGCTTTAAGCCTACAAAAGCCTAGAGACTTGGCATTTATACAATCTGAGCCTGAGCCCCACACATCATGCTATTTGGGGCTGCTGATAATGCCATGAAAAGCTTTATGTAGCAAGTCTTCAATCAAAACACGTCCCCTACTTGGGTGCCTGGGACAGACTGAGAGGATGTCCTTCTCTGGAATGAGAGCTGCCCCTGAAGGCTGCTCCTCCCAGCCAGCAGGGCATCCCCAGGCTGCCTCTGTCCCCACCACTCAGGGAGGTGGCCCCAGGTGAACTGCCCGGAGCTGCACTTCGGGCTGGCTCAGCAGGCAGGGTTGGGCACCCCCTGCACCTGGGAATGCTAAGGAAGACAGGCTCCACAGCATGGCAGCCCCCAGGATGCTGCCCTTGGCCAGGGAAGGCAATTCCTGCAGAATCCAGGGAGCAGATGGAGGAGGACCTGGCTAGAGGCTGGGAAGCAAGAAGCTGTGGCGGGCAGAGCAAGTTCTAGGTGTCCTGCCAGCTCCCTGTCCACCCTGCTCCCGCCCAGGAGGCTGATCTGAGTGTAGCTCTTGAGGCAACCTTCCCTCTGGCCACGGGCAGCCTGGAGCGGACGGTGGGTGGGAGGAGGCAGAGGTGTTTCTCCTTGCTCCCCCCAGGCCAGCCCCCTGCTGGCTGTGCTCTGCCCAGATGGCCACTCCTCTCCAGGGGGCTCTGCACCCGTCTCCTGGGTTCCAGGAGCCCTGCCTTGCCCTTGTCCCTTTGGGCCCAGGGGTGCTGACCACTCGGTCATCGCCAACCTGTGAGACCGCCTGTCCCTGAGGCCCTGCACCTGCTCCTGTGTGTGTGCATGACTCTGGGTTTTCCTGTTTGGGGTGGATTTTTGACTGCTAGGACCCAGCTGATGCCCAGTGCCCCCTCCTTGTCTCCAGGCCTGCAGGCAGTGGAGGGCCAAGGGCCCTGCCTCCCTCTCCTGTCCTCTGAAAGCCTTTTCCTGTTCTAGGCCATTTCTGCCACCACCCCGCCAGGCCCCCTTGGTGAGGCACACGGGTGGGCACCAGCCACTTTCTGTGCTCCTGACTTGAGTATGTCTCCTACTCACTGCTGAGCCTCTGGAGGCTGGGGCTGGACTGTGGGCTTGACCATGGACTTCCATGGCACCAATGAATCAGAGCCCAACGGCAGCTGTGGGCAAAACTCAAGGCTTACTTCCTGGATTCTGAGGGCTCTCTCCCCATGGCCACCCACCCAACCTGGGCCCTGACCCTTCCGTCCACTTAGGAGCATGTCCAGCCTGGTACTGGCTCTTCTCCACCTCGACTGCAGGGCAAAGACCTGACACTTCAGGGAAGAGAGGCATGCCCAGCCCCCTGCTGCCCCAGGGCTGCCCGTACCTGACACCGCTGCAGGAACACTGCCAGCGGCTGGGGCCTGGCTGCCAGGTAGTACTCTTGAGCACCTTCACTCCTGAACTGCCCTTGGTGGTGCCCGTAGAAGCCATTGCTGTGCTAGAACAAGGCACGCAGGAGGGTGAGCCCCACCCCAAGAAATGGCCTGATGGCTAGACCAAGAGGGACCGGGACCAGGACACGACAGTGACGTGGGGAGGAGTCAGCCACACAGGAGTATCAGAGGGCCGTTCTGTGCTGGGGCCAAGGGCAGAGGTTCAGAGGCCAGGAAGGGGTGGGTATGCTGGAAGACCAGCCAAGGGGCTTGGTGACAAGGATTGTGGGCATGCTGGAGAGGAGCGAGGTGATGCCACAGGGCGACGGGCCTACACTGGTTTGGGAGTAAGGATTCTCTGCGAAGAGTGAGGGGTGGGCCAGACAGGCTCTGGGTGGGGCGCGTCAGAGTACGGGGTGGCGCTGCAGGAGCAGGGCATCTGCTGCCTAGTGGCCTGGTCCTCCTCGGGGCATCTGAGAGGATGTCCCCTTCGTTTTCCTCCCCCCACTGTTAACGGGGGCAAAAGTCCCCACAGAGCAAGGACCCGAATGGATCCACCTTCTGCCTCCACTGACAGGGTCGTGAATGGCCATACTCTCCGCTATCCGGAGCAGGAAGGGCACCCTCTGGAAGTGGGGCACTAAGCAAGGGATCACTTTCCAGAACTCCTCACCACCAGCAGACACCCTCTGGAAGAATTTCACAGGCAGAAACTGGTGCAAGATAGAATGAGTGCCCATCAGGGGCCTGACAAGGGCCATATGTGCTGTCCTTAGGTGGATCCCTGTGAACGGCTGTGTCCAGCCAGGGAACGCCTGTGGCCCAGACCTATGGCACGGAGTGCCCCTTGGAGAGGGCAGGTATGCTGGGTCCTCCACAGTCATAGCTCGGAGCAGGCAGAACCGATCCCGAGCTGGCTTCCGGCCATGGCCGTGTGCCCCTCAGCACGATGGAGGAGCCTTGGGCTTTTTACCCCACCAAGGGCTCAGGCTGCCCAGCCTGTCTGTCTGCCACCTGTTCAAACACCCTCTTGTTCTCTATTCCATTTAGTGCAACAGTATTTACTGGGCCTTTACTGTATTCCAGGCATGGAGTGGGATGTGGGATATACAGACAGGAGAAGACAGTCTTTGTTCTAAGGTGTTCCTAGCCTAGAGCACGCAAACCCAGGAGTCCGGGGAGACCAGGCCACATGGGAGGGGACACGGTGTCTGGAAGGTGAGGTAGGCCCTGGGGTGACTCCAGGCTGGCAGAGGAGGAACGGGCAGCTCAGGGCCCTCCACCAGCCTGGATGCTGGATGAAACCCTCCTTGTTTTTTTCTCCAGGGCCAGGGTGGGATTAACTGCCAAGTACATTCTCACCCGAGAGCAGACTAAAGCACTTTCATCTTTCCGAGAAGGAGGCAGAAAAGGCAAAACTCCTCTTGTCGTTTTGAGGCTACAAATGAGGAAAGGGAACCTCAGGTGACCTTCCTGTTGCTTAGTGACAAAGGGCAGTTGTGAGGGCACAACGCGGCCGCTGCCCCAGGGCTCGCTGTTTGGCTCCGCCCCTCCATTAGAGAAGCCGTCCCCCAGCGGTCACAGCTTAGGAGATCCTTCCACAGGGGAACACACAAGGCTCCGCAGTGAAGAGGGGCTCACAGGCAATGCAATATTAAAGAACATTTCAGAGGCAAATCCTGCATTTTTAATACTGTGCAACCATACTGCCAGGGATCTAAATTTAGAGAGAATTCCATGGAGTCAGAAGAAACATTATAAGGATTGGTGGCTCTTAGGAATAAGATTGCTGCTTCAGAGTGAGGCTCAGACAACTTCTCTCAGGAGTCTGTGGTGGCTGGAACTAACTGTGAGGCGTGAATGTACAAGGGCCCCAGTGTAGAAGACAGCATGGCAGAGGAACAAAACAAAGCACGAAAAACATGACATTGTGGTTCCATTCCAAGCTACCCCTGGGCAGAGTATTCTCTCTCTCTCTCATAACACAGGGACATGGACAGTTCAACCCTTTCACCAACCAAAGGAAGCTAGCTGGCCATTAGCCTCAGAAAGTGTACCAACGGACTGTTCAGCAATGGGAAACACTCAGAGCCTACCGGTGTCCCTGGCACCAGCCCTCGCAGCCAGAAAGTCCACCCTGGGAGAGTCAGCCTGGAGGTACCCTCCCACATGCATTCACAGGTGCAGGACGCTGACTGAGGCCTCTGAATGGGGGCAAAATGGTTAAGCAGCCTGAATATTTACCAGCAGGACATGGAAAACTTGGCCTATGGTCACACAATGAAATACTGGAGTTACTTTAAATGGGCTACAGATACTTGAATCCAGACATAAATCTTAAAAATGGTGAACAAAAAGTTAAGCTGTAAGTAAATTCGAAATGGATCAAAGACCTGAATGTAAGTCATGAAACCATAAAACTCTTAGGAAAAAACATAGGCAAAAATCTCTTGGACATAAACATGGGCAACTTCTTCATGAACATATCTCCC